TAAAACCATACCGGAAAAAAACCTCGGCAAGAGTAGGTTATATTAAAATTTGTCCCCTGACTGTCATTTCACTGCACTGCATTTACTCGCAAGTTATTCTCGCAAGTACGTGATTTCCATATTAATACACAGCTGCTTTAATACAGTCGACTCCCGGCAACTCAAACCCTCTATAACTCGAACTTCCCGCTAACTCGGAGAAATGTTCATTTCCCTTCAGATCGTTTTCTATATAATTTTACCCACAATAACTCGAACTCCCGATAACTCGAATTTCTTTCTATTTCCCTTGAAGGTTCCAATTATCGGGAGTCGATCGACTCCATTGCCAGTTTTTCCCCATATCTATATTGTACTAATATATAAAATTATCTGAGCGCATGGTGACTTAATTCTTAGTTCTTCTCGTTTTCCTGAATTATTGCACTGTTAACCAAAAGCAAAGCAAGTGATGGCTTTGATTGGTTATGACTTAAGGCTTCAAATAGACAGAGATCAACGTAAAAACCTTAATTAGGTTGGATTATGACATGTGTATTGATCTTGTATCAGTTGTTCCAACGCACTACTTTCAAGACAGGCAGTCTAATCAATCCGCCCACACATGTTCAATTACCTGAGCTCAATTTTCGTCTTCACTATAAGCGAATAACTAACATTTCTAGAAGAACCCACGGAACTAACTTCCATTTTTGTCTATATAAATAGGGAACTGAGATCTATTAGCTTCCTCTCCCTCTCCCCTGTAGATGCGTACTTAGTTACGTTCTAGACCCCTGACAGTTCTTATATTTCCTCGAACTTAATAATCAACAGCTTTGCCATCCTCTGAGCAGAGCCTCTTTTTCGCTTCTACTTGATCGAGGAAGAGCTAGAGAAAATTAAAAGAGGCTTTGCATGAATCGCGTCAAAGAACGTTTGGACTAGTCAATCCAGTTTTCCCTCGTCAAACTGGTTTTTCTAATGCGAGCATTCGTTTCAGTTCATAAACCTCTGATCATAACTGAGCCTGCTGTACTCAGTGTACCGCTTTAGGCCTGTGTTCGGAGCTGTATCCTAGCAACGATCAGCGCATGGTCAAAAAGATCTTACTCGAAAGGTGCAGTCTTTCTCGAGTACGCTAAAATCAAGCAAGCGAAAGAAAGACTCTGCTGGTAGGATGTGTATTTGGGGATACAAGAATGGGTAAATTCCACTTTTCCTCTTTTTTCCCGTACGGTATTGTTTACGAGAAGAACCTTCTCTTTGATGATTGTCCGCTAGTTCACTACACACATTTCCCTGCTTCATAACCAGGCGCTTAAGGGAACATGGAAAGGTTTCAGGTTAACGCAAAGGTCAAACGTACAGTCCACAAATTTTTAAGCGGGACTTAGAAGCCAAACATTTTAGTCGATAGCATTTATATTTGAATCGTAGTTAAATCTTTTAGTTTGATTGTATATTTTTTACTTAGCCTTTTTTTAGTCCTTTAGCCTTCTTGCCCTTTAACTTTTTATCCGTTAGCTTTTTATATTTGAGCAATAGTTAAATTTTTAAGACTGATTGTAATAAGTAGTTCTCACATTTTTTAATCTTGGTGTGGACCTCCCTGAAAACCACTAAATGTGACTAGAGATTCCTCTATAAAGATTATTTAATATTAATATTATTTTATAAAATAACTAAAATAGCACGCGCGTTCTGATTGGCCCAAAACCTATGGTTTATTGTGCCGGTAAACTCATAGTTTTACTTAAAGTTATTTTATAAAAGCAATAGACCACACTTTCTATGGGTTTATCGGCGTGATAACCCACTTGGGATGTTGGGAGAACATTCGAAAAGCTTGTAAATCAATCGCCTTCGGCTCGTGATTTACAAACTTTTCCCGTGTTTTCCCAACATCCCGCGTGGGTTATTACGCCGGTAAACCCATAGAAAGTGTGGTCAATTGCTTAATGCTATCATTATTAAAAAATACGGGGTTTGAATGTTTTGTCATCTCTCTAAATTTATCAGGTAAAAATGACTCTTCGTTAAGTGAACTGAGCCAGTAAAATCCCATGAAACAACAAAAATGTACTTTAATTTTTGTACTGATCACGTTGGTTAAAATTTGTTTTGTTGTTAATTTTACGTACAATAAACTCAAGCAAATACGTATGAATACATTTATTATGATTACTTTTCCCTGAGATGTATAAAGAGGGGAGATGGGGGGAGGGGTAATAAATACCGCTCTTTCCGCCAAAGACTGAATCTTTTGAGGCGCAATAGACATTAAATATTATACATGTGTATGATTCGTTTTAAGGACAGTCTAGTGTTTTTGACACTGAGGAATTTTAAGTTGAAAACCATAGTAAACTAACTCGATCGACAGAATAGTTGCCTTAACGTTTTTTTTACAGCTTGCCTTACTTCCCTGATCTTCCAACAGTACAGGAACGGGTTTAATGACGAGTTTAAATGAAGTAAAGAAACAGTAAATCGTCTAACGAGGTATACCGATAAAGTCATCCCTTGTTGAGGTGTCAAAGCTACCGCTACACCAAACGGCAAATAACATGCAACCAATGTTCCCTGCACACACATTGCACTGTACACCGCCTTTCTGTATCGAGCTATGTTCAGTGTGATTGCTTGGCTCGGTTGTCCTTGAGCAACATGGTTCTGAACATGAATTTGATTATGACGCAGAGAAAAGAAAATTTTTGCGTAAGCGAAGATTGTGGTGATTAGACACAGAGCT